CACAAAAGAATACCATTTCCATGTTGTCTATTTCCATATTTCCCCTAGAACCTTTCTATCCCACTGCTTACAAGATGTCTCCATTCGGATGTCTCATGGCAACTCAGATTCAACCCATGCAAAACTGAACTTATTATCTTTTTTTTTTTTTTTTTCCAGTTGGAGTCTCACTTGGTCGCCCAGACTGGAGTGCAGTGGCCGCTCCCGGCCACTGCAGCCTTGCCTGCTGGGCTCCAGTGATCCTTCCGCCTCAGCCTTCCAAGTAGCCGGAACTATAGGCGTGCACTACCACGCCCGGCTGATTTTTTGATTTACTGTAGAGATGAGGTCTCACTGCCAAGACCCGCGGGCTCAGGCAATCCACTCACCTCAGTCTCCCAAAGGCGTGGGATTACAGGCTGAGCCACGGAGCCCGGCTTATCTTTTTTTTTTAATTTTATTTTAAAGATGTGGGGTACAATTCTGGATTAGCTATACAAATGATCATCATACAGGTAAAGTTTGGGTCTCCCTTTGGTCTCCACTTTGCCTGGCTTGAGATAAGTTACCCTTATTGATGTTATGTGATCCCTCTTCCATCCTCTGGCAGTTTCTGGCTACTGCCAATCCTTTTCTTATAATATTATGGTAAATGTTCAGTGTCCGCATATGAGTGAGAACATGTAGTACTCAGTTGTTTCTGTGATAAATCACTGTGTTAAATCATCCAAGTTGCTGCAAAGTCCATAATTTTGTGCTTTATGGCTGTGTAATATTCCATTGTGTAAATGTACCAAATTTTAAAAATCCAGTCCAGTTTCAATGAGGAGCATGGTTGATTCCATGTTTTTGCTGTTGTAAATAGTGCTGCAATCTTATACTTCTTCCTTTTGTCCCCAGCCAAGTGACTTCTGCTCACTTCCTAATCTCAGAAAATGACACCAACTACCAAATTGTCCAAGCCAGAACCTTTTCTTGATCCTTACTTTCACCTAAACTCCCATAGTCAATAGCCAGTTCCTGTCAAAGCTACCTCCTTAACCTTCTGTTAATACTCACTGCCATTAACTTAATTCCAAATCATTGTTTTTTGCCTCATTTCTGAAATAGCCTCCTAACTGATCTACTACTGCTAGGTGTTGCCCCTTCTTACCTATGCTGCATCTGAGGTAAAGGGTTTTTTTCTTTTTTCTTTTTGAGTTGGAGTTTCACTCTGTCGCCCAGAGTGGAGTGCAGTGGCCGCTCTCAGCCTCCACAGCCTCGACCTGCTGGGCTCCGGCGATCCTTCCGCCTCAACCTTCCGAGTAGCCGGAATTACAGGCGCACGCTACCACGCTCGGCCAATTTTTTGATTTATTGTAGAGATGAGGTCTCGCTAAATTGCCCAGGCAGTCTCGAACCCGCTGGCTCAGGCAATCCACTCACCTCAGCCTCCCAAAGGTGCGGGCTTACAGGCTGAGCCACCGAGCCCGGCTGGGTTTTTTCTTAAACTGAATCTGGTCATGCTTTTCTCCTGTCATTAAAGTTTCATTAGCTTTCTCTTGTCCTCAGGACACAGTCTGTACAAATATCATATGTAAATATCATCAATATATTACAAGGCCAACAACAAGTACTTTTTATTTATTTATTTATTTTTGGCTAATCTCTTTCAACGATTCATTTAAGAATTCAGCAATACCTATGAAGTAAGACTATTTGATTATGACTTGAAGAAAAAATGGAGACAATTGAGAGACATGTAAATGAGATACATGCAGATCCAGTCAGAAAACATAATGTTTGGTTATTGGCATCTTATAATCAGCTGGTCTTAGAGCTATGATGGATGCAGCAGGAGCTCTAGTCAACCATAAACAAGAGCCGTAGTTCTGGAGGCTGAAAGTAATAAGATGATGTTGGTAGGTTTGGGTTCTCCTGAAACCTTTCTCCTTGACTTGCAGATGGTCACCTTCTCACTCCCTCTTCACACAACCGTCCCTGTGTGCACATGCCAACAACTACTTTTTATTGAGCAGTCGCTATATGCCAGGGCCTTTACATGTTTATTTCATTTATTCAGCATAGCAATGTTTGATGAATATATGAAGTATTATTATATTCATTCTGCACAAAAGGATAGCAACAATACTTAGATATACTTGGCATGTCAAGCACTTTCTAAACCTATTTGTACACTTTATCTCATAATAATGCTATAAATGATAAATTACTACCTCTATTTTACAGATGAACAAACAAGCACAGAGACTCTAATTTGCCCAAGGTTACATGTCAGTAAGTAACAAAGGGGGATTCAGACCCCTGGTCTGAATCTAAAGCTCTTATTGACTTTCCCACATCTCAGAATCTCTGCATATGCTATTCTTTCTAAATGGACTTTGACTACGCTAATTCTGCTTTTTCAGATTTCAGCCCAGAAAAATCTTCCACAATTGCCAACCCCATGGCATTGATCTTGTTTCCATAAGAATGTATTCTTGTTTCTTGTCCTTGCTATGATATGATTACAGGATATCAGACTACTGACATATCTCCCTAAGAGAAGGGATTGAGTTTGGTTATACTGGTAATCCCAGTTCCCTTTCCAGTGCCAGACAAATAGTACCCAAGAAGTCTGTTCAATTCTATAATACATGTTCACTTCATCTATTTGGACTTCCCAGGTCTATCCTATTAATAGAGTGTATATCCATATTTAATTATTTTTTTACAGATGCAAATGGTATTCATGCACTTAAAGCTCTTCTGTAACATTAATTATAGTAAACAACTCCCAGTTTTGCTTGTTCAGTATCAGAATCTTTTTTTTTTTTTTTTTTTGAGTTGGAGTTTCACTCTGTCACCCAGACTAGAGTGCAGTGGCCGCTCCCGGCCACCGCAGCCTCAACCTGTTGGGCTCCAGAGATCTTCCGCCTCAGCCTTCCAAGCGGAATCTTTTGTTTGTTTGTTTTTTTCTGTGAGTTGGAGTCTCACTCGTCACCCAGGCTGGTGTGCAGTGGCACGCTCACAGCCACCGCAGCCTCGACCTGCTGGGCTCAGGTGATCCTTCCACCTCAGTCTTCCAAGTAGCTAGAATTGTAGGCATGTACTAACCATTCCTGGCTTATTTTGATTTTGATTTATTGTAGAGATGAAGTCTCACCAAGTTGCCCAGACTGGTCTTGAATCTGTGAGCTCAGACAGTTCTCCTACCTGGTCTTCCAAATTGTTGGGATTGTAGGCATGAGCCACCACGCCTAGCCATAGTATCAGAATCTTAAAAGAACCTACTTGGTGGATAGTTATATATACACCAATGCATAAGATGTGGTATAATTCAGGTTTTCATAAACGTATCAAAGGAGTTTTTGAGCCTAATTGGGTACATGTGCAGAAACAAGAATCACCGATAGTTTACCCAATTTATTTTCAAGTAACAATCCATGAGAGCGCCTATCTCACTCAGAGTAAAAGTCCAGAGCCCTTACATGGCCTATTAGGGCCACCCGATATACCTTCCTCGCCCCTCAGTCCCTTACCCTCTCTTCCTTCTTCTTTTCAGCCCAGCCCTCTCATCTGGAATGCTCTTGTTCAGACATCACACATCCAGTTCCCTCAGCTTCAAGTCTTTGTTCACTTTCTCAATGAGGCCTATCCTGACCAATCTATTTAAAAGGAAGGCTGAGACAAACTGAGATACTTCCTTGCCCCGCACTTTCCCAATCCTTCTCATCTTGCTAAACATAGTCCTTATCACCTTCTAACACACCACAAGCTATGTGTGGAATGTAATATTTGCAAAATGAACAACGAATGACATTGATTTGTCTCTTTTCCCTTACAAAAGAACTGGAAATCACCCATAACCAATCATAGAATAGAATGGATCATAGAATAGTTGGGGTCCAGTTTGAATCCCCTTCTACAGTATTATTTCAAGTGGAATATTCTGAACTATTCTCTTGATTACAACCTTAGGTTTAGCTTATATACTCCGAGTCTTGCAATAATGGCATCATGCCATGGCCTTACCTTGAGCAGACATTTTCTGCATTCTTTTTGAATGCACTGTTCTACTCTGGCTATTTTCTGTCCTTAAGCTTCAACAAGGCACATATTTTAAAGTTCTTTTGTCTTATTGGGGGTGGGGAATACATGATACATATAAAAATGCTAAGTTGGAAAGCAAATGCTGGTTGTGTGTCTCCAAGATGGAGAAAACAGAGGTTCTTAACCAACCAATTTTCAGTCCACATGGAAATGTTTATCCCTATGGAATGTTATCAAGAAAAAGTCATTAAGGTTATCTGACCCATCCCTAGCAATGACTCCATGTTTTTTCTCACAGGTTTACTTGCAGCCAGCCTCACCAGATGCCATTCCAGTGCCTTAAGACCCATGAGCGGTTTAGCAGTCATTTATGTTTTACCTCCACCCAATATAGAAATGTTCCCAGCAATAGTCTGAATATTTGTGCCTCTACCTGCCCCAAATTCGTATGTTATAACCTACTCCCTGTTCAATGGTATTAAGAGATGGGGCCTTTGAAAGATGATTAGATCATGAGAACTTAACCCTCATGAATGGGATTAGTGTCCTTATAAAAAGGCCCAAGGGAGTCTGTTCACCCCCCACCATATGAGGATGCAGCAAGAAGGGGCCATCTTTGAAGCAGAGAGCAAGTCCTCACCAGACATTAAATCTGCTGGCACCTTGATTTTAGACTTCCTAGCCTCCAGGATTGTGAGCAATACATTTCTGTTGTTTATAATTACCTAGTGTAAGATATTTTGCTATAGTGGCCAAAATGGACTAAGACACTCTCTATCCCAGACCTACCACCATTGATCCTTTTAAAGAAACTTGTTCTACCAGATGTTGAGCAAACTTTCCCTCCTAGCTGTAGTCCCAGTATTTTTTAAGAAACTCTTCAGGCCCTTTGCAGCCTCCTGAAACTCAAATCCACTTTTATGAGGTAAACGAACAATGCTCTCACAATTTTATTTGGCCTTAATTGAGGGGAAGAAAACCAATAAAACTATTACTTTAATTTCTTTATTTATCAATAGTATCTGGGAAAAAAAAAGAATCAGGAATTATAACAAGTTAAATGCAGTACGAAAGCCTACTAAAATACAAATACATTTTCACAAACACATAGGCAACAGAAACCTGTTCAAACTGTTTCTTGTACTTTGACTATTTAAAAACATTGGTGTAAAGGAAAGACATTCAGACTGGTCCACTTGGGCTTATTATCAGGCAGAAGAGCCCTGCTTTCCAAAAACAGTGATAAGAGTCCAGAGTCACAGCATATGGGAAGGACCCCATGGACACTGGATCTTAATAGATGCTGTAATGTTTATAAAACCATACACACATACACAGAGAAAGCCCAGGGAAGCTTGCAGTCTAAGCCCTATGCTTTTAGAGGGCTGAAGGAACGGAACCCGATTTAATCCTATTTGTTTGCCCCATGCAAATCTCTGTGCAAGACTCCCCAGACTAGACTATTTAGCAGCTTTCCATGAATGGTCCTCAGATCATGTGATTCTATGGTGCAGACAACAGCCGCCCTATTTACACAGAAGCAGCAGAACTCAAGAATGTGGATTTGCTCTTGGGAATTCAGTGTTGCAGGGTAGGGTGGTCTTGGATGGTAACCACTGTTCTAAATGTGACTAATGAAGAGACACTGTGGTTTCTTGCTTTAAACAAACTAGTACTCTGCCCTCTCCCATAGTGTCCAAAGGCTGGCAAAACTTCTTTGGATTAAGGCATGCTGCTGTGAGTTCTCCAAGGCACTTGGACAGGGAGCTGCATTGCAGACTGCTCAAGTGGGGTCTGAAGAATTTTTAAATGGGATGATATGCAAAAGCTCAAAATGCTAAACAAAGTGGAATTTTCTCCTTTCAAATGGGAACAAGGGAAACTATTTAGGCGTTCCATTTTTGGCACAACAGTTTCTCACAGCTGCTTGTGCAGTACAACTTAAATCTGCTTTATGCAAATGAGATCCTATGTCAAATTTTTAATCTTTGTTATCATCAATGCATCTTAACATGGTGGTGAGTGAGGTTAATGATAAGAGGCCAACAGACACAGGACTGACTGTGAACAAATGATGTCTCGCCAAGTCACAGTTTTAAGATTCAATCTCCATTTTTCCCCCTCTTCAATTTGAAACCTTCTTTTTTCCTCATCTCTAAAGGGAAAGCTCTTTCTGTTTCCAACCAGAGGTTAAATATGAAATGCAGATGACCAGTGGGGTGGTTCTCTTCACCACTATCTTCCAGGGCAGGCTTTACCCATGAGGGATCAGCTTCACAGCACAACCTGCAGGGTCATTCAGGCTGAGGTCAAATTTGGTTACCCTGTTTTTGGTTGTCTGACTTTTCTAGTTGTAACAACATGGTTTCATTTATTGTGAGCTGAAGGAAAATCATAGGAACTTGTCTCCCTCTGGACCAGTTACCAGAACTACTGAATTTATCAAAAGCTTAATGGATTTTTACCAACTCACTGATAAACTGAGGCCCAGATATAGGATGAGACAGAGCCCAAGTCACACTTCTAGTTGGTGGCTGATCAATGAGCATATCGCTAGGTTGGGATATCCAAAGCCTTGCTTGGCAGACCTGTCTCCATCCTTCAGAATACTGATTTGCCTGAACTTCTCAGAATAAATTCAAATTAACTTTTGGATCTTGAAAGTTTTGTATAAAGACACTTCCCCTTCTCCTGTTTCTGAAGCACCCCTGGCCTCCTCTGGTAGAGAACTGACCTGCTGGAAGCTAGGGGGGCCAACTCTGGGCTGTATCTAGTATGTGGTAGGGTGGGGGGCATGGAGGCTATATAGGTCCCTGCACTAGGAAGAACCCCAAACTCCTTCCACCTATGGCAGGACTACTGAAAAATAATTACAAAAGCTTAATATCTAGTCAAGAAAATAAAATATTAAACAACAATAATATAATGATAATAACTGAAGAATAAAGTCAACTTGCCAAAAAAAAAAAAAAAAAGTGTTTTACAGAGAAATAGCACCTTTGGTAAAAAGTATTTTGAAAATTTGGTTAGGTCACTAAAGGGCTCAAAGTATACAAGTATCTGCATCATTTGGGCGCACCCTCCCAGAAACTCCATCCAAGTCTGAAGGACACTGGGTAGCTAGCGGGATGGCTGTGTATCTGGAGGCAGTGACTGAGACCAAGAGAAGCACAGATGCTGAAGGTCTATCATAATGACGAGAGAAAGGCGCCGGAAGGAGAATGTGTTCCTCTCCGTGGAGCTTCCAAAACCTCCTCCTCCAGGGACAGCCTGCTAAGTTCTCTCTGGCCTTGGGTGCACTTCCTGCAGCCAGCTGACAGCTACAGAGGACTCAGAGGGGTTCAGATCTGAGTCTGTTCCTTTCCCAGCTCTGATGCAATTTCTTTACTTGTCTCCAGCCCCAGAGCACCATTTAAAGTTTCTCTTAAAGCACTCCTAGAAATGAAGGGGATGGCCCTTCTTCTCCTAGCCAGCCACCCCCACATCTCGTATTGCAAAACAAATAAACAAAATAAAACTCGCTGCTATACAAGCGAATACTGGTGATTTGGCGATTGTAGCAGACACTCGCGTATAGTGGACTCAGCGCTGAAGTGGAAGAGAAGGTGCAGGCTCCATACACCATCCTACGTGTCTCCTCATTAGATCTCTTTGGTGCTCACTCTCTTGGTCTTTTCAGCTGTTTCCTTTGAGACAGAAAAGAAAATAAGCATCATGGACACATTCAACAACTGTTGGCATTTATCTAGTTCTCAAGAGTTTCTGTAGTTTTGGCAGATACACACTTATGCTGAATTTTAGTTATTTTCTTGTCAGGCTTCTCCAGGGACAATGAACAATTCAAGGACATTTGTGACATGGTCATGTAGGGGTTGTTTACTGAATTAAAAGCTGATCCTATTTGAACTCCTATGAAACAAGCAGATTAGACATTATGATCCACATTTTAAGGATGAAGAAAAGGACACTAAATGGAAATGCTACAAGATGTCTGCATCCAAGTCCAAAGAAGTGTTAAGAGCGACAGGCTCTGGAGAGACAGCTTGAGCTTCAATCACAGCTGTGCTACTTTCTGAGTAGCTTTGGAAATCTTATGAAACCTTCTGTGCTTCAATGTCTTCAACTGCAAAAGGAGGGTAATAAAGTATACCTCTTACAACAGGGTCTGGTGCATTTCCCCAAAGAAGATATACAAGTGGCCAATAAGGAGAAAAGATGCTCAGCATCATTAATCAGAGAAATGCAAATTGGGCAACTGCATCGGCTGTCAGACAGGCATCTGCGACTGGGAAGGGCGAACCTCCGCCTCATGGTTCTCAGGGCTTGGCCTTGCCCATGCCAGTGGGAAGGGAACATGGCCTTGCTGTGCTACAACTGCGGCTGCAGCCAGCCCTTTGACCCCGAGACCAACTCTGATGATGCTTGCAGACACCACCCAGGTGTTCCAGTCTTTCATGATGCATTAAAGGGTTGGTCTTGCTGTAAGAGAAGAACAACTGATTTTTCTGATTTCTTAAGCATTATAGGTTGTACAAAAGGTAGGCACAATAGGGAGAAACCACCCGAGCCAGTCAAGTCTGAAGTCAAGACTATTGAGAAGAAAGAACTATCTGAATTGAAACCCAAATTTCAGGAATGTATCATTCAAGTCCCTAAGCCAGTAATAAATAAAGTAATAAATAGGCCAGGCCCAGATGAACCAATGACAAATTTGGAATTTAAAATATCTGCCTCCCTAAAACAAGCACTTGATAATCTTAAACTGTCATCAAGAAAGAAAGATGAACACAATGATGAAATTAAGATTGGAACCTCATGAAAAAATGGAGGGTATTCAAAGATATATCAAGGTCCACAGAATCTAGAAGAAGTCTGTGTGCATCATTCTGGAGTACCTATTTTCCATGAGAGGATGAAAGACTGGAGCTGCTGTAGAAGAAAAACTTCTGATTTTAATACATTCTTAGCTCAAGAAGGCTGTACAACAGGGAAGCACATATAGAATAAAAAGGATGCTGGGAAAAAAGTTGTTCCATGTAGACATGACTGGCATCAGACTGGGGGTGAAGTCACCGTTTCAGTATATGCAAAAAATTCACTTCCAGAACTTAGTTGAGTAGAAGCAAATATTACATTGTTAAATGTGCACATTGTATTTGAAGGAGAAAAGGAATTTCATCAAAATGTGAAATTATGGGGTGTGATTGATGTAAAGGAAAGTTATGTAACTATGACTGCAACAAAGATTGAGCTCACCACAAGAAAAGGTGAACCTATGCAGTGGGCAAGCCTCAAACTGCCTGCAGCCAAAAAGCAGGAAAAACAAAAAGAAGAAGTAACAAATTGAGAAATGCAAATCAAAACCACAATGAGATACTATTTCATACCCACTAGAACAGTTAAAATGAACAAATGTTGTCGAGCATGCGTGGAAATCTGAACTCTGTTGGTGAGGATGTATAATGGTAGAGCCACTTTGGAAACCAATCCAGCCGTTCCTCTAAAGGGTAAACAGGGGCATTACCATATGATCCAGGAGTTCCACTCCTAGGTATATACCAAAGAGAATTGAAAACATACATCCACACAAAAACTTGGGTAAGAATGTTCATGATAGCATTATTCATCAGAGCCCCCAAACTGAAACATCCTAAATACCCATCAACTAATGAATAGATGCACAAAATGTGGTATATATCCACACCATGGAATGTTATTTAGCCATAAAGAGGAATGGAGCACTGATTCATGTTGCAAGGATGAACCTTGAAAACACTGTGCTAAGTGCAATTTGATTCCATTTATATGAAATGTCCAGGATAGCAGGATGACTGTGTATCTAGAGGCAGTGACGGGGACCAAGAGGAGAGGCACAGATGCTGGAGGTCTATCATAATGACAGCGACGGAAAGGGGCCAGAAGGAGCTCATGTTCCTCTCAGTGGAGCTTCTAAAACCTCCTCCTCCAGGTACAGCCTGCTAAGTTTTCTCTGGCCTTGGGTGCACCTCCTGCAGCCTGCTGGGGCCTACTCTTTCCACACAAGCTGGCAGGCCACAAATGCAGGGAATTAATGTTTCCTGGTAGCAGCCCTCAGTCAAATGCCTGATGGAATTCCTTGTAACTCCCTCTCAGCTCAGGCATAGTTACTCAGTCCCTAGAGTTTCTCAACAGGATTAAGTTTCACTTGCCTTTGGTGGTAACATGCCTGAATATACACTCTTTATTGCTTCCTTTCCTGCCTGGATTCATTACCCAAATCCCCTTCTGGTGTTTCCTGGAACTGTCTCCTCCTAAATAAACTACTTGTACTTGCATCCTTGCCTCAGTGTCTACTTTGGAGGGGACTCACATACAACAGAGACACTTAAAGATGTCAGTTATCATAATCTACTCCCTGCTGTCTAATAATTTATGTATCCTAGATGAATGTCATTCCTACGAAGTTATTTTGCCTCCCTTTCATGGGATTGAACTCATTTGGAGACTCAAGATTGGTGAAATTTGGAAAAGCAAAAGGCAATAAGCATGAGATTTCTGACATGAGATTTCTGTACTATCAGTGACCATAATAACAAAATGCACATTAAAGAATGATCAATCAATGTGAACAATGACTATTAATAGTTCTTGCTACTCATGTCAAATATTTCATCTCAATAGTTTAGCAGTTCTTGTGACCATTATATTCCTGAAAAACTTCTATGTCAGAGAAAAGGCTTGTACTACTAGACCTGGTCTCCAGACAGGTAATACAAGGTGTGCTATCCCATTGAGACTACATGATAAGCCAGTGAAAGTTGGGTCCAATGTGTCCATGACAGTCAGTGGATCACTATTCTGCTAAGAACCCTTTCCCCAAGGAGGCCTTCAATTTAATGACACCTGAACAGAATTCTTATTTATTATCTTCTTAAGTCTCCAGGAAGGAGAATCTTTGTCAATTCTAGGCTAGTCTCTAACCAGCCTGGCATTAATCTAAATCCTTTCTGCTGCAGTCTAAATTCACTAATTTCGTGTATATCGAGTGCCGACTTCTTCCTAGGCCCTGTGCCAGATGAGAGGGTACAGTGGTGAGTGAGCCATAGAGCCTGCTTTCAAGGAGCTCATTTATTGTCTTTGGGTCTGGGCACTGGTCATGACAGGAAACATGAACACCTTTTAAACCTGCTCGTTTGCAAACCACTTCCACCTCATTTGCTAATCACTACCTGGCAGATTCTTCCTTCTATAGTGATTCACCAAGTTGTAACCTATACCTGCTGGGACCTACTGGACCCTCTAAGGACTTTATGAGGGAACTGTCTGTATCAGGGTTTGATAGTACAGATGATGTGGTATCACTCAGGATCCACTGTATTGCACATAGCGTGTCTCCCTTGTCTTCTGAGGCACTGGGCAGTATCTGAGAGGTACAGGGCCTAGTGGCAGTAGCAATACCTGAAGCAGCATGGAGGCTGCCACTCACCTGGTGCTTTTGGAGCTCTTGGACGTATCTAGTCATCTCCTCCTCTGTCTGGGTCTGGGCCCCCTTCTGATTCTTTCCTGTAAGAAGAATCAAAGCTGAGAACAAGCCGGTGAGAGACCCCACCAAGATCTATCTTGGAGGTTCTTAATTCATCTTCCATTTAACCTGTGGAAGGAGAGGTGAATTGCCAACATTTCTCAAAGTATGAAAGGAAAACGGGTCCCTGTGTAACTGACATCTCCAAGGTAACATACTGGAATCAAAGCAATCTATCTTGATCTTCTGTGGCCTCTGTTAGTAGTGTTTTCTTTAATGGCTAAGCACACTGAAGATGAACCAGAGGCTGGTCCTGCAAAAAAAGCTATGGTGAAAACCTGGATTCTGACTCGGGAAATTCTTTGGAGATAGTGATTCTCAGCCATTTACACACCCTCAAAATGTCCTAGAAAACACTGGAAGATCTAATTGTCTAGGTTCCACCTACAGAGATTCTGATTTATTCGATTCCTAAGATGTAGGCAGCTTGTGGGGTGGGACCTAAACATCAGTATATATATTTAAGTCTCTCTAGGTGATTCTAATGTGCAGCCAGGGTTGACAACCACATTTAGCAATGTTTTTCAAACTTGCAAGTGATAAATAAAAACAAGACAAAGGTTCTCAAGCTGCTCTTTTGGAAATTCTGATTTAGTAGGTTTGAGATGGAGTCCAGGAATCTCTATGTTTACCAAGTATAATGTTTACCATTAGGAAACACTGCTAGGATATGTCTTCCAGACACCGGCATCAACCACTCCTCACAGTGCTGTCTGGTGACTCTGGCTCCACCTGGCTTCACATCTTTCTTTCTTTTTGTGAATCTGGAGTCTCACTGTTGTCTAGGCTGGAGTGCAGTGGTATGCCCACGGCCACCGCAGCCTCGACCTGCTGGACTCAGGTGATTCTTCTGCCTCAGACCTTCCAAGTAGCTAGAACTACAGGTGCGTGCCTAAATTAGCCAATTTTTTGATTTATGATAGAGATGAGGTCTTGCCAAATTGCCCAGGCTGGTCTCAAACCCATAGGCTTAGGCAATCCTCTTACCTCGGCCTCCCAAAGTGTGAGGATTATAGGCGTGAGCCACCGAGCCTGGTCGGCTACACATCTTAATGATCCTTCTTCTCTCTTTTTTTTTTTTTTTTTTTGAGTAGGAGTCTCACTCTGTCACCCAAGCTGAAGGACAGTGGCATGCTCCTGGCCTCTGCAGCCTTGACCTGCTGGGTTCAGGCAATCCTTCCATCTCAGCCTTCCAAGTAGCTGGAAGTACAGGCACACGCTACCACATCTGGCTAATTTTTTGATTTATTGTAGAGACGAGGGTCTCACTAAGTTGCCCAAGCTAGTCTCGAACCCATGGGCTCAGGCAATCCTCTTACCTCGACCTGCCAAAGTTCTGGGATTATAGGCATGAGCCACCACCCGGCCTGATGGCTCTTCTTGTTTGTCCCACTGAGAATTGTGAGCTAAGACCAGCTACTGACTTTCAGGTACTAACCTGAAATGCCTTGGAGTGCTGCCTCTATAATCTCCTTTAAGATCCATGAGCACTAAGATGTGCTCAGGCCCTGGGGCACCACCATCTGGACTGCTCTTTATATCCACATGGAGCTCTTGACTTGGCCATCTGGGAAGGAAGAATGAGCAGCCCAAAGCTATGTGGCTGTAGAAATGGGCAATGTTCCATGGGAGTGATAATGTGAATTTTGTCTGATGCATGTGATGGAGATTATTATCCATATGATCACACCTATGGTTCTGTAAACCAGCTGCATACCAGCTGCCTATGTCTTAGAAATAGAGGGCTACTTTTACAAAGCCAGAACAAGAACAGTTAGGTGCAGAGAATACTGAAGGGATTTTTTTGGAAGACAAGTAGAGGATGCATTCTGGTTGAAGCAGGTTGGGCCACTGACTGTTTTGAGATGTTCTTTGCTGGCTTCAGTAGCTACTATGTGTTTGGTCTGGCTATTCTGGCTTGGTCTTGACTTCCAGCAACTTTTAGTTCCCTAACAGCCTCTTTCTGCTCTTTCACCTGTCCCTGGAGTGATGTTGGCTTCCTGTCTTTCCACACTAAAAACAGACTTGGTCTCAGGCGGAGGTAGACAGACCAGTGGGCCCTTGGATAGTACTGGGTTCCATTTATACTGTTGGTGTTCCCTGGGCTCCTTGTCTAGAAGAAACTCTTCCTTGGTCTTTGACCTCTGTCTCTTTGTTACCATTTTACCTGACCTTCTTGAACATGATCCTAGGTACCAGTCTGCTCTTTCTTGACTCAGTTAACATCTTTTTTTTTTGAGTCAGAGTCTTACTCTGTCGTCCAGTGGCATGCTCACAGCCACCGCAGTCTCAACCTGCTAGGCTCAGGCAATCCTTCTGCCTCAACCTTCCAAGTAGCTGGAACTACAGGGGTGCACTACCACGCTCGGCTTATTTTTTTATTTATTGTAGAGATGAGGTCTCACCAAGTTGCCCAGGCTGGTCTCAAACCTCTAAACTCAGGCATTCCTCTTGCCTTGGCCTCTCCAAGTACTGGGATTATAGGCTTGAGCCACTGTGCCTAGCCTGTTAGCTTCTTAAAATATAACTTTAGGTTAATCCTATCTGGTATAACTTTTGGGTCTGGTTCCAAATGACCTTTCTTCCCAAACCCAATGTGAATTTCCATTCCACACCTGGCTTCAACACCTTCTCTGCCTTGCCTCCGATCTGAATGGTCCCTGGTTCTTTGCTAAGGCTTGGCTTTGATTTAAGAGTCCCATTTGATCTTAACATCCTTGTAGGAGGACTCTAATGGGATCCTACTGGTTCCTTCAACATACCTTGTAACCTTGCACTGCCCCCCAAGCTTTCTGAATTTTCTGTCTCCCCAACTCACTCTGCCCATGTCTCAGCTATCTTTCGTTTCCTTTTTTTCTTTTTTTGAGTCAGAGTCTCACTCTGTTGCCCAGGCTAGAGTGCAGTGGCATGCTCACGGCCACTGTAGCCCCGACTTGTAGGCTCAGGTAATCTTCTGCCTTAGCCTTCCAAGTAGCTGGACACAGGCATGCACTACCATGCCTGGCTAATTTTTTGATTTACTGTAGAGATAAGGTCTCACCAAGTTGCCCAAGTTGGACTTGAACCCATGGGCTCAAGCAGTCCTCTCACCTCAGCCTCCCAAAGTGCTGGGATTATAGGTGTGAGCCACTGTGCCCGGGTCTTTTTTTTTTTTTTTTAAAGGATTACCCAATTCTGTTAGTTGAAAGAGGGTCTACAAAGACTTTTCCCCCCCCTTTTTCTACTGGGTATGGCAAGGAGGAGTCATTTTGCCTTCCAACCACCAGAGTCTTTTACTAAGTATTTCCTAAAGTGTCATAAGGATTAAATGGGTTAATATGTACAGTGCCTAGAAGAGTATCTGGCACATGGTTCTCATGAAATAAGTATTTGTTTTCATCATTATTATTCCAATCTCACATCATCATTTAGTCTTGCCCTGGGTCTTGGACCTCTTTTTTTTTTTTTTTTGGATCAGAGTCTCACTCTGTCGCCCAGGCTGGAGTACAGCGGCACACTCATGGCCACTGCAGCCTCGACCTGCTGGGCTCAGGCGATCCTTCTGCCTCAGCCTTCCAAGTAGCTGGAATCACAGGCAAGGGCCACCATACCTGGCTAATTTTTTGATTTATTGTAGAGATGAGGTGTCACCAAGTTGTCCAGGCTGGTCTCAAACCCATGGCCTCAGGTAATTCTCTCGCTTCGGCCTCCCAAAGTGCTGGGATTATAGGTATGAGCCACTGCAGCCTCTTGGACCTTTCACCACCTCTGGAGTGATTTTCAAATTTAATGTATATAGGATAAATGCTTTGCCCTGAATGGTCCCGACTGGGAGCTCTGACCTTACAAGTTTGGGTCTGTTACTTGCTCCCAGGTTCCTGACTCCCAGCTACTGTCCTCTTCTCCTTCAGCCCCCACCCTGACTTCTCTCATGATGATTTCATGAAGCTCCCTCCTTGCAGTTTCTTCTTTCCCACTGAGGCACAGCTCACCGTCACAGGTCATGGCTGTACAGACCCAGTTTCCACAGGCACAGACACAGCGGTTACAGTCCACCTCGGTCTCAGCTCCATCTGCATATGTTTCATCCTCCAGGGCACACTCTGTTGAACCAGAAGTGAGGGGTAACAGTTTAGTTGTGAGCGTGAAACAGGGTGCCTTTGCTACAGTCTGTGCACCTTACCCTTTCCCTAGACAAGACCTGCCTGTTCCTCGGAGGCACCGTATCTGAGCAAACGTCACCATCAACCTCAAGATTTTGGGGCCCTGACTTCACCATGGAGATGATGGGCAGAACCCAGCCTAGAATCATGGAAGAGGATTTTCTCAGCTAGCTCTGGAGAGTTCCACCAATCCTCTCTATCTCCCCCATCCTCCCCCAAATGCCTCCATTTTTTACTATGCTCTATTATTAGGTCAGGCATACTCTTCTCAGGAGGGTTGAAAGATGGGTTGAGGCACTTGAGGAACTCTTGGAAGCTGAGTTTCCAGTCAGCATTCTCATCAGACAGTTCAATGAGAGCATCAACACAGAGTCCTCTGAAACAAAACACAGGAGAAATGGGTCAGCAAGACCTAAGTTTCACTCCTGAAGGAAGGAAGTAGGCACTAGGACCTCATATACCTGGGGCCTCCACAAGAGGCCAAAAAGATGGTTGCCAATTGAAAAAGTTTCTCTTTACACGAATGCCATACCACTATCCATTCTGATTCACATAAGCATCTAAGTTTTAGTATGTCATACTAGATGTCACGTCACTCAAGCTGTTCACATGGAGCTCTGGACTTGGCCATCTGGGAAGGAAGAATGAGCAGCCCAAAGCTATGTAGCTGTAGAAATGGGCAATGTTCCATGGGAGTGATAATGTGAATTTTGTCTGATGCATGTGATGGAGATTATTATCCATATGATCACACCTATGGTTCTGTAAACAGTCATGTTTAGTTGTCTTAAGACAACTAAAATATCTTGAATGGTTTTGTCTTCTTTAACTGACAAATGTTTTGACTATCTGCTACTTCTACTAGCAATTGCCTTTCTCCATGGTGTAAGTATCAAGACAACCAAACTAGAAAAATCAGAAGAGACGTGATAGATGATATGAAAAGAATATGCAATTTGATAGAATAAGAAATTCAAACAAGAATCACCATTATCACCATTGTAGAAACAGATTTTCAGAAAAGCTTTATAGAACCTCAGCTCCCTCACTCCCCCTTAGTCTGGATTTGAGTCCTGGCTCAATCACTTACCACCCAAATGGCCTTGAGCTAGTTATTTGACCTTTCTGAGAGTGTTTCCCTATCCATAAAAGGAGGACAAGAAGTCTTTGTTCACTGGGATGTTATGAGGATCAAGATTTGAAGTTGTAAAACATCATCTAATTTCAGGTTATCAAAATATGAAAGAGTTGCAGATTCTATGCATTACGGTTATGAACTATTATTAAGGAAGAATCCTTCCAGAAACTGCTTTGTAAGTCTTCTGAACAAAAGAGGTGCTCTTCCTATTTTTAACTCTTACTAATGTAAGACACCAAAAGTTTCTTGGGGGTTAATTTTTATTAATATTTATTCTGGAATAATAACAGAAAAGAAGAGGGACATATATTTGTAACAATTAGGGCAAGCTACATGAAATAGCACTAATTATCTTAAAAATCAGAACTGAAGATGTTTTGGACCCCCAGTTAAATAACATCTTGTAACACCCTCAGCAAATTAATCAGTAAAATATCACTCACACAATTCAGAAAAAACTTTGCTCTGATGTGACCATGGCAGTTTATTTTAAAATTACATTCTTTTATTCCTTGCAAGTTCTGACCAAAAACAATAATTATTTGATCAGATATCAGTGGTGCTCAATATATTAGTTCACAATGTTCAAAGAATAGAATGGGACAGAATTCCCATTTTGCTTTTTACTTGGCACTGGTGGCTCTTTTGCTATAGAGAGGGGTTTAATTTCCCTCTCCTAGGCAGCCTTCCCTTATGGACCACACCCTGACCCCTTGCTCCTCTCACCTAAGCAGCTTGTTGTTCTCCTGGTCTGGATAGGTGGTGATATTGATGGCAGTTTCATTCTGCTCCACAAATTTCAGAAATTCGCTGGAGTCCAAGCGAGAGTCACCATTATCAAAGTTCTAGAAGGGGCAGGAAGAGATCTTTCAGGAATGTTTTGTAGAACCCCAGTTCCATCATTGTTCCCCTCAGCCTGACCCATCTCTGCTTCATCTTGTTCTTGACACATTCCAACCCTGCCCTGGACTTCAAGAATAACAAAGGCTCAAATCCCTCAGGCGTCCGGATGCCTGTGCCTCAAGATGAGGGAGTAAAGGTGCCTGAGCAGAGGCCACCAAGGGCCTAGGACAGTCTGGACAGAGGCACGAGCTGCCCTAAAAGCCTGGGGTACCTGTGCATGCTCTGTGGCCCCATCTCTAAGCTGTCCTGCACTGTCCTGAAGATATTTTTGACTTTCCCTTTGGGTTTAGCCACCATAACATGTTCTCAAACCCTGATGAACGTGAGTCTCAAGTTGCAAGCTGTGAATCAGCATTTCTGCAGTGGGGCCCAGAATGTGTTCCTAATGGGCAGCCTTCCAAGCTCACTTTAGTACCAGAGGCTCTTAGCTCGCTGCTTAATTTCCAGCCTCCCTGCCCTGTTGTCAGTGCTTAACTTTCACACTGGTACCCGTAATTGATGACATCAGTGAGAACTCAGAGGCAAAGGCTCCAATTCAATAAGCTTCAGGCAGAGGTGGTGCAAAGCCCCCCACCCCTCTGCTATGGGCCCCACTGCAGATGTGAGCATAGGTCTGCAGACTACCCAGCCCAGGCCGTCCTCATGACCCAGCTGATACCCCACTAGCAGGAGGTAAGGGTTCAGTGAGCTCAGGCATCGTTCTAAATGAAGACCTCAGCCATCTGGGACCACTCAGGATGTCTAGGCCCTCATTTCAGGAAGAGGCTGTCAATTTCAAGACTCTGATCAAATTCGAAGTTGGAAACGCCTGCTCTCCTAACTAGTTCCAATGGTATTTCCTCCACTAAATTCCTTCCATAGGCCGCCACATACAGCTGCCCTGGGAAATAATCAGCATCCCCATGTTAACTTCAAAGTGGCTCCCCAGATGAAGCAAGGGATTCCAGAGGAAAAGTTTGTTCAGGTTTCCAAGTAGATGGGACAGAAGCTACTAACTCTCCTTTCATGACTACCCTGTGTCACATGTTTCACTCTAAGGCTGTAAATCTTTCCATGGCATATGTCATGACAGGTATATATGAAACAACTATCAGACCCTTGCTTAGTACCTATTTGTCATTCTTGTCCTAATTCCCAGGAACAGGTCTCAGATGTTCTTTACTCACGACACATTCTCTCTGAGGAAACTTCCCTAAATGTTCACCTTGTGAGGTCTTGATTAATTAATGGAAAATAATTAAATAAGCTTGGCCAGGGGCATTCTTAATAGCCCAGGACTCTCTTGAGTCCAAATGTTGCATGTGCTGGGCAGATAGGAGTAACTCTTAGAGATCCCATGTCATCAGGACCTGGTGACAGAGTGAGGGTAGGGAGGGGAACAGGCCAGCACTGGCTGCAGAGCCAGTGCCAGAGGGCCCCAGTGGGCACCCTGAACCTGGCACTACAGTCCAGGTAGCTCTCAAAAGGCAGTGCGGGGAGCACACACTTCAGATTCAGTGGGACCAGAATCCAGTGAAGCTGAGGGGTGGTTCAGCCTGTTTACATTCTCCTCTTAGAAGGGCCCCGTTAGGCCTCCCCAGGTCAGATCTGTATGTGGAATACAGAGAACACAGAATTCTCAGCTTGGAATGCCTAAGGTGGGGCGAAGTGGGTTTACGATCTTGTACTATGAACCAACCTAACTCATTCAGTCTCTATTCAGCCAGCCAGTAACAAAGACATAGTATCTCTTTATTCCTGTATTTCTCAGTTCTATACAGGTTGAGAATCCCTTATCTGAAATGCTTGGGACCAGAAGTGTTTTGGATTTTGAATTTCTTTCAGAAATTGGAAAATTTACATATCCATAATGAGACAGTTTGGGGATGGACCCCAAGTCTGAATATGAAATCATATACCTTATACATATAACCTGAAGGTAATTTTATACATTATTTTTAATAATTTTGGGCATAAGACAAAGTTTGGACTGTGACTCGTCACATGAGGTCAGATGTGGAATTTTCCACTTGTAGTAGTATCACAAAGTTTCAGATTTTGGAGCCTCTCAGATTTTGAATTTTCAGATTAGGGATGCTCAACCTGGATCTGAAATAACAACACTTTAACTGTAGGGTTGTGGAAAGGCAGGAAGACTCAAGCTTGGTGCTCATCACTGTAAGTTTGGAGACTGTTCAGAGGTGGGCTGAGCCAGGTGCTCACTTGTGCACAGCAACTGGGGCCATGGGGGATATGATGCCAGGGTAAGGGAGATAAGAAGGCTAACTCTGGTGTCAGTCCCGGCCTCTAGGGACTTGCCGACCTGGAGCCACCAGAGTTGGGCAATGTGGCAAGGAAGACTCTTTCCATCTGAGTCTTCCCTTCTTCATCTGGTTACGTTTTCACCTAATAGTGACTGAATCACTGGGTAAGCCCAAAATGTGACATGTGGCTTTTACCTTATCTAAAGTGTTACTAGATCTGGTTTTTGACTAATTTTGATGTAAGGAATGCCAGCTGGGCTGCAAAGCCATTCACTAGTTAGGGCACAGTGTCTTTGAGATATCAGATCTCTCACCAACAGGCAGCTGATGACCTAGTGAAAGGGAATCTCCTTTTAAAGACAGCACCACATAGGACTCTGATAATCATCAGAAAGTAGAAGGCGCAACGCCCATTTTCTCCTGGGAGACACTGCCAGAATGCCTGGGGAGAAGAAATTTTGTGTTTGTCGGTCATGATCAAGCTTTCTTAGTTGGGAGTGAGAACGCCCTAGAGAAAAGCTACCTTCTCAAGGGGCCTTGCAGTTTTCAGAAGGGAACCCATAAAAGTGAGTTCCTGCTGGAGGAGGCAGAGAAGTATCAAGAGGGAGTGTGGTCCAGGTACTTGGAAATCTCATCTAATAGCAGGTGTCAGTGATGCCTGAGGCAGAGTGCCACCAAAGGGCCACCACAAATGGTTACAAGTGGCCTTGTGGACTCTTTCCAAGTGGAAAGGGTCTCCTGGACCCAACAGCCCCCATGCTGTAAGCACAGGGCAACAGGCCCTGCAGGTACCCCTCACTTGGCTTTTGAGCAATCGTTTTAAGTTACCCTACTGCTCTTGTCTAACTCTCCTAGCTCAGCACTATGATGTTTTCTGTAGAAGAGGAACCACTCTTGTCCCTGGGGCTCTGCAATGGTGGAGTGGTTGAGATAGAGGACACAGCAAGAAGGGCTATGCTTTTCCACCTGGGTATGATCTCAAAAACTTAGAATCCAGAGAGATTCAATCTCTGCCATAGAGGAGAGAAACCTCTCTGCAAAAACAATAACCCAAGCCAAGTCTTAAATGACTAAATATCCATTTGAACCACCCGATGTTTCTCTTATCTGTGGGGTCTAGAATGTCAGCTAGAAACAGGAATCCACAGATTAGACTGGCATTGACCACAACGGGGGGCTTCAGTGCTGCCAAGATGTCCTTCATATGTCTGGAGTTGCTGTTGAATCCTGGCTCTGGGGAGGCCTTGGAAGCATGTGGGCAAGTGTATGTCTAGGGATTTGTGTCTGTAAGTGAAGAGGATTTGGTGCTCATGTGGTCACCAGGGAACGTGAGTATCCGAATGTGTGTGTCTGCATGCAGGATGTGTCTCTAAGTGGTATGTACATCTCTATATGTGGTGTGTGCATGTCTCTAGCATGTGCAGGATGTATCTCTGTGTGGTATGTACATCTCTATATGTGGTGTATGCATGTCTCTAGCATGTTATGGGTGTGTCTTTCTCTATGCTTTTGAGTATGATTTTTTTTTTGAGGTAGGGTCTCATTGTCACTCATGCTGGAGTGCAGTAGCATGCTCATGGCTCACTACTGCCTCAACCTCCTGGGTTCAGGTAATCCTTCTGCCTCAACCTGGGTGAAATTAGAAGGTATTTTGTATCAGCAGCCTGCCCCACATGTTATCCTATGTGATAGGGGATAGAGGTTGGCCTGACAGGTTCTCCGACATCCTTGAGACTTCACCTACTCAAAGGGAGCAGCACATGTGTGTTAGATCCCAAAGGTTCAACTGCTGACTCCCACTGACCAGGATGGACAGACGGCAACTCTCACAGCTTCATGGAATGCTCTGTGATGAGGAAACACTCAGAGTCTCTATACAGGTTTATATTTCCTGGGGTCTGGAAAGGTGTGATTGGGCAATGGGAGGAGGAAGCTTCTCTTTCTCTGGGCCTGAACAGCCTCGAACCCACCTCTGGATTACCTTAAAGTACTTGTCCAGGATTTCACTGTAGTTGCTGCCTTTAGAGAACCAGCCATCTGGAATGATCTCGGCTTCCAGCCACTGGATGATGCGATGCCGGAGCTCATCACGGTTGGACTGATAGCAAACGACTGCAGGAAAGGGAAGGATGTCAGCTGAGCAGAGAGAGAAGGACCCAGTGACATCCGTCACCCTCTGAGGGCAGGCTCAGTGCCTGGGGCTCTGCATATGTCATCCCACTGAATCTTCCCAGCGCTCCAGGGCACAGATTACCACTTCTAGGGTACACAGCTAGAAAGTGTCTAATCCAGAATTCAAGCTCACATCTCTAAAACATTTATAAAGATTAAGAATATTGAAACAGAGAGATTTCATTGCTAGGTGAGAAATAAGTAGAGCAGAAAAAGAAAGGACATTTTCATTAACTTTAGGAAGCTGAGAGAAAAAAACAAATCAATCAACCGAGTTGCTCTCTTGCCTCAAAGATGAGCTGAAATTATACATGAATAAATGACAACATTACACTTCTTTATGCCACTGGATTTCTGATTCTCTCTATATAGGTTCTCCCTTTCTCAGCAGCTGGGTCTATCAAAACTTTCTCCCACTTAAAATCTTACACACCCTCATTATCCTTGATTATAAACAATAGAACATGAGGCTAGGAGGGGCCATTTTGAAGCCTTGCTCTGGAAAGCTCTTGTAAGCCATATGAAAACAGGGGGAACTGAGAGTCAGGTGGATGGAAAAGTAGAGGAGAAAAAGCTTTGACGAAAAGGAATTCCCGGAAAACAACATCAGTCAGGGTATTAAAAAGGGCACTGGGCTAGGCGAATGAAAGGATGCGCATTCTTCTCCACTCTGCCACATCCTAGCTGTGTGATTTGGGGAAACTCATTTATCTCCTTTAAAAGAGTTGTGCCTTCCGAATACGCTAGTGCCATTACATGATCATGCCTTACAGGGTATTGGAAGAAGGACTCAATAGCTTGCAGTTCAGTCTCTACTCGGCAAAAATAGGAAAATACAGTCGGCATTCTGACCTAACCAACTGCTTCAACTGGCAAGCACACACACACAAAATGTAGTTTTGCAGTTTTTCAGAGTTGTGTAGAGGAGTGATGAGTTCTGGGTTACAAGTTTTGACACACAGAAGGCCTTATGAGCTTGGCAGGGATCACGGAACACAACATTGCTGTCATGGAAAGAATTTCTTCCCAAAGATGCACAGTATGAGAAAAACATGCTCACCTGGGCTGGCAGATGGACTTACGGATTTCTTCTCTGCAAGACAAAAAGAAGAAAATGTATAACTCAAAGTGAATTAAAAAAAAAATCTGTGTTATCTCTAGGATTAATACTGCCCCACACATCTTTACTTTCTTTCCTTCCTCTGGGGCCCAGCTATGGAGATCTTTTCATTTCTGCTTTGCTTGACAGTCTGGGGTCATTGGGTTGCCCTCTTGGTCTCACACCTCCTCCTGTGGGGTTGGAGGTCATTGGATGTTGAGAATTCATACAGAGAATCATTCTGGACAGGGAATGGAGTAGAGACCATTACCTGGGAAACAGCTTCTTGTCTCCAAGGAAAGTTGAGGCTGAGAAGGGCTAGGCAGGGCCAGGGCTTGGCAGGGGCTAATGTCTAATGAGCAACAAGCTTGGGCAGTGGTTTCAGCACAAAACAGAAGAAGCATAATGCTTCCAGGGCCAAGAGGTACCCAAATAAAAAGGTATGGAAAAGTTATTTAAAACAAACAAACAAACAAGGTCTCACTCTGTCACCCAGGCTGGAGTGCAGCTGCATTATCATCACTCACTACAGCCACAAACTCCTAGGCTCAAGTGATCCTCCCACCTCAGCCAAGTTGCCGAGTCTACAGGCTTACACCACCATGCCTAGCTAATTTTTCTTTTTTTTTTTTTTTGTAGAAAAATAATCTTGTTATATCACCCAGGGTCTCAAACTTCTTGGCCTCAAGTGATCCTCCTGCCTCAGCCTCTCAAAGTGCTAGGACTATGTAGATGTGAGCCACCTCACCCTACCTTCTAAAAAGGTATGGAATTCATTTATAGACTTCCTTATTGTTATTATTGATGTGGTTGTCTTATCTATTATCCAGTTGCAGACAGTGCTGGAAGCCCCCGGGAGTCTGATGCAGAAAACCCCAGGCAGAGGCCTAGGCCACCCAGAGCAAACCCAGAAGGCTCATGAGTGTCAAGAGAGTGCATCTCCAGCCAACTAGGTGGAAAGGCCATGTAGTCAACCAGGCTACACTGCTCCGTTCCCTGGCTCCTCATGGTGAGAGCACACCTTACCTTTGCAGTGTCCATCATAATCAACCTGGATTTTGGATCCAGTGAGGCAGGCATCTCGATGCAGCTCACAGTGGTTGAGGTAGGTCTTGCCGTTACTGCCACACACAGGCCTCTTGTGAGGTTTGCATTGCTGAAACAGACCCACAGGAGGATGTCTAATGCAGTCACAGATACACACACACACCCATACATGTGCCCACAGGCACATATATACACAGCCATCTTGTGAGCGGACTCCCCCCAGCAGCCATGGAGCTCCTACCCCACCAGGGCACAGGGAACCTCAGCTCTGGCCATCGGTGACCCTACTCTACTTGATGTTGGGGTATCACATTGCTTCCCAGGCACCCATGGCCCTCTGTGCCAATCCTGGTCCAGGGTCATCTCTTCTATTCAGTGAAGAAACAGACACTCCGCTGTGTTCTGAATATGTGTGTCTCCTTCAAAATTCATGTTGAAACTTAAATCCCCAATGCAACGGTATTAAGAACAGAGACCTTTTGGAAGTGATTAATCCAGGAGGGTTCCTCACTCAAGAATGAAATTAAGACTTGTGTAAGACAGGCTTCCTACATTTGGCCCTTTTGTCCTTCGGCCTTCTGCCATGGGAGGATGCAGAGTTCAAGGTGCCATCTTGGAAGAAGAGAGATCAGGTCCTCACCAGATGCCAAACCTGATTGCTCCTTGATATTAGACTTCTCAGCCTCCAGAACTATGAGAATTAAGTTTTTTTAAATTTATAAATCATCAAGTCTCAGATATTTTGTTATAGCAGCACAAACATACCAAGACACCCTCTATCCCACCATACCAAATTATTAGAAAGGGCAATTTATTAGTAGTCAGAAATTTGGATTCTCTCTTACTTTGGAAAAAGTCATTCAATATTTTTAAATGATCTAAGATCCCTTAAACATTCTATGACAAAACAGCCAGAGCTGAGAGCTGGGAATATGAAGAGATTGGCAAGCAAATAACACTCCAATTCTTCCATGACCTAACTATAAGAATCACTTGCTTTGTTTAGCATTTGGGGGCCATTTTGTTTTCCTCCTAATCTCACAACCCCTCTTGTGAAGCTAGGAGTGGGAGTACCTGGGTCTCTGTGAAGTACTACAGAGAATCATCACAGACAAGGAAATGGAACAAAGTTCATTTGGCAACTAGCTATTGAAGGTGTTCTAGCTATTGAAGGTGCCAAGATCACTGGCAAGCTCAGTTTCTTTGGACTTTTGTGGTTTTAACAGGGAGAAGGAATGGGACTGAAACAAGAAAGAGATGTGGTTAAAAAAAAAAAAAGAAGCACAGAGCATGGGAACCGGAAGGCAGCCTAATCATTCCAATTTATAGATGAGGATACCAAAGTCCAGAAAGACAAACTTCATTTATTCATTTAAGCAATATTCATTATGGAGTGCTTTCTGTGTACTGGGTACTGAGCAAAACCAAATGTGGGCTCTGTCTTCATGGTCTACTGGGAATTACTTTGCTCAAAATCACCCAACTGGATGTGGCTGAGCTGGGATAGTTGTCAGGCTTCCAGATCCTAAGTCTAGGCTCATGCCATCACACTGTGGCCAGGTACATGGCCAGTGAGAACTACCAGGGCATATGGATCCCTGGCAAGATCTAGTTTTTAGGTTTCTGAATTACATGACTTCCTTTCTAAGGCAATGCATCAGGATCCTTACCTGAGGTATTAGTTGAGTGTATTTAATTTGTAGAAAGAGGCCAGGTGTCATGGCTCACACCTGTAATTCCAGCACTTTGGGAGGCCAATGTTGGAGAATTGCTTTAGTCCAGGAGTTCAAGACTAGCCTGGGCAACATAGTGAGATTTTGTCTCTACAAACTCCCCACTCCCCCAATTAGCTGGGTGTGGTGGCTCATGCCTATAGTCCCAGCTACTCTTGGAGGTTGAACTGGGGAGATTGCCTAAATCCAGGAGGTGGAGACTGCGGTGAGCTGTGATAGTGTCACTGCACTCCAGCCCAGATGGCAAAACGAGACCCTGACTCAAAAAAAAAAGAAAAAGAAAACAAATTACAGAAAGATATGTGTTTCCAGGTTAAAGGTTGGTATAATAGAAAAAAGGACACACATCTAGGATATTTATGGTCACTTTAGGAGTGAGAACTTATCAGAACGCTTCCTATAAAAGAAGTATTTCTCAAAGGCTCACTTTGCTTCTTGAATATCATTTTTTTCAAAAAAAAACCACCTGCATTCTGTGTACTATTTTTTAAAAACTTGAATATCTTCTGACCTAGCAAGTCCTGATGGCAATCAATGCCACAGAAATAAAGGCAATAGCATATAAGGATATTTGCACAAGGATGTTATTGTAGTGTTAAACAACCCATAGAACAACTAAACATCCACTTATGGCAAAATGATTGAGTAAATCTAGTTATTTTATATTTCTAAATATTATGCAGATATAATGAGTTAAATGAGTTAAAACTGTATGTCCCGATCTAGAGTGTTGTCATGATCTAAGGTCAACACTGCATACATCTGTGTCTATAAATATTATGATCCCATTTTTGTTTAAAATAGGGGGAAAAACCTTATGTCTATAGTAGCATATAAAGTCTTATGTCTACAGTAGCATATAAAGCCTTATGACTACAGAAAAAAACATCATCTCAGTAACATCATGTGGAACATTTGCCAAACTGTTAACACTGGTTACCAATGGGACCGAAGGGTTATGGGGGAGGATTGTTAATTTTTTAATTAAAAATCTTATAAAGCTAAATTTTTTTTTTGTTTATTTTTTTTGTTGTTTTTTTTTTTGTTTTGAGGTCCAGCCTCGACCTGCTGGACTCCGGCGATCCTTCCACCTCAGCCTTCCGAGTAACCGGAATTACAGGCATGTGCTACCACGCCCGGCTGATTTTTTGATTTATTGCAGAGATGAGGTCTCGCTGCCCAGGCGGGTCTCGAACCTGTGGGCTCAGGCAATCCACTCACCTCAGCCTCCCAAAGGCGCGGGATTACAGGCTGAGCCACCGAGCCCGGCTAAAGCTAAATTTTTAAAAGAAAAAATATCCCTACATTAAATTAGGCATCTGATTGTTAATCCCCAAGATATTTCCATATGTCTTTCAGATGGACAAGGTGTGCTCCTGACACCAGGACTTACCTCAATGCAGAGGCAGGTGGGCTCTCCTTTTTCTGTGACCGCACATTCCCGGCCGGCTCCACAAAACACATTGGCACAGATCTTGGATTTGCTCCTTAATTCTTCCTAAAACACATAATCAAAGAGGAAACCATGTTACTGAGATGAACGCATAATAGGATGAGCTAATGGTGGTGATTATCTTCCAGGCTTGGGTTTTGGTCTGGAGTTGTGGCTCATGGTGTTGAAGGGTCTTGCACAGCCAGAAGTTGCCCCCAATGGCCAGCACCCTACACCCAGGTACTGCTCCAGTTCAGGCTCAGGCACCTCAGTGTCTCTGAGATTGTTTCTCAAAGATGAAGAGCTCCTTTCCTGCATGCTTTCTTTTCCCTAAAGATGTTTATTAAGTACCTCTTTTATGCTAATGCTCCACAAAGGGCCGGGGATACAAAGGTCAGTATTTGTCCTTAAGAAGCTCCATGACTCTCTGAGGAAACTCAGAAAGAGACATTTAGGAAGCAACATGGAAGTGCAGCAACAGTAGGACCAAGAAGCTGGAGGGGAGGAAGAAGACAAGAGTCAAATGAGACTTTCTGAAGATATGATGTCTTGACTAATTCCTAAGGGACTAGAAGAGTAAGCCAGGGAGAAATGGAAACACTGGAGAGAAATATGAATATCTGAAGAACCCAAATCTTACAGAGTGGTGTTCAAGGAAATATCATTTCAAAGGGCAAAAGAAGAATGATTAAACCATTGAAAAATACAGATTTGCTACATTTGTTTTGGACCTATTTAACCTATCACAGCCGTCACTGGCTTCAACAGAACTATTTTCAAATCACTCGCCAATCAGGCATTCCTGTTCAGACGCATGCAGCAGAACTGCCAAGGCAGGACATGGTCTCTGTGCATGCCACTTGAAAATGTGGGGCAAGCCCGGCTCTGGGACTCAGCCTGTAATCTTGCGCTTTGGGAGGCTGAGGTGAGTGGATTGCCTGAGCCCGCGGGTTCGAGACCCGCCTGGGCAACTTGCCGAGACCTCATTTCTACGATAAATAAAAAATGAGCACACGCCTATAGTTCCAGCTACTCGGAAGGCTGAGGCGGAAGGATCGCCGGAGCCCAGCGTCGAGGCTGCAGTGGCCGGAAGCGGCCACTGCACTCCCGTCTGAGGGACAGAGTGAGACTTCAACTCAAAAAAAAAAAAAGATGGGGACTCACAGGCACTAAACTGTTGGTGGCATATTCTGTCCCCCCATTCTCTGGTAGACAGAAAGCCTGCCCCACTTCATTAGGCACTCAGCCCTGCCGTCGTGGTGGCTAAATGAAGAAGAATGTGATTTGTCCAGCCTCTTGCCCTGACTGGCTGGTCAGGCAGAGTCACCAAAGAGCTCCTGGCCCATGCCCACTGGGCTACACGGGCTGTGACAAAACCAACAAGAGACAGCAGGAATCGCACGCAATGCAGCCATGGAGCTGGCTGTGGTAAAGGAAGGAATAGAACCCAAGAGTCCACCCTGCAGTCACACCCACTAGGCTTGTAACAGTAAAATTCTTATAGTTGGTGAATGTTTCATATCCAAGGTCACGTTAACATCAACAACAAAAAAGCAAAAAACAAACTAGATGCTCTAAAGCCAGCTATGCCCAATACAGCCGGTCTGCTGCCACCCGGAGGCTGCTCTGCAAACTCCAGGTTATTTCCTGACCTAAACCGTCTTGCCCGTCTTGCAGGGCTCCCATTGGCCTAGAAGCCGTTCCCAAACGCACATTTCATTGGTTCATGCGCTGTTGCTACACCAATTCTTTTTTGGATGTTGCTAAGGCGGATTCAATAAAGCTGGCAGGCAAGGAAGAAAAGAGGAAGTAATTCCCTAAAGGCTGGGTGGACTGGAGAGCTGTTGTTTCCTTAACCCAGGGGTGGAGATAAAAATCACACATATCCTCCCGGCAGGGCCCTCTTGTGGAAACTGTGCCTGGGAATGTAAAGCAACACTAAGGAGGAAGAGGAAGGAGCTCTTGCTGACCATTGTAAAAAATCTAAGATAATCTTCTCTCCCCTCCAAGAAACAACACTCTAACCGAAGGATACAAATATATACCCTCCCGTTCCCGTGGGTGTGGGTGTGCCACTGAATTTCAGACACACAAATGCAATAAAAAAGCATGCTCAAACATATGCTTCTCTCGAAGACTCACCCGCACACAGCCCCACAGGCAAACGCCCACAAGCTTCCACTAACTAGCTGTGTGTGTCCTTAATTAGGGATTTTCATTCTTTGAGCCTCAGATTTCCTCATCTGTAAAATAGGGGTAAATACCAGCCCTGCCCTGTGAAGATTAAATGAGATCATATGTTGGGAGGTACGTCATAAACTGTAAAGTAAGCTGCTGTGAGAAGTGTGATTAATGGAAATGCCTTAAAAAGCTGCTAGCAGAAAAGCCCGTGACATTTATGGGGCGTCATTTTATCTTATATTGCTGTTTTTAGTAAGTACTCATAATAGTTCTCAAAAAATCCATTTGGAGAAAGAGATAACTTTTAAGTTGTAACAACTCATTAAAAATTGCAAAGTGTTTTCATACACATGATTTCATCTTATTGTGTGGACAACCCTGCAAAAATATGCATGTTATTATTAAACCCTATTTTATGGGTGAGGAAATTGAAGATCAGAATGGTCAAATAACCTGCCCAGGGTCCCAAAACCAGAAATGAGAGGTGCTAGGACTCTAACCCATATCTTCAAACCATAGATAACTAAACTCCCATTTATAGATACCTGGCATCCTGCTAAATGATTTCTATTATAATTTAAGCTCTGCAATAACTCCCTCAATTAGACCTCAATCATCACTATCCCCATTTTACAGATGAGGAAACTGAACCTTAAATAGCTAGAAAGTGGCAGAGCTAGGATTCTGTCCAACCAAAGGAAAAGCAGTTTAAATCTGATTTATTTTCATATCCAGATGACTTAAGGAAGTTATGATGGGGATGTGAATTGCATAATTAGCAAGTGTCGGGAGAAAGTGCGTAAGAGTGCGTCAGAGATTTAGATTTGAATTACTCACATCCCACCTCTATTCCTTTCTTGTCATGGTTGTGGGCAAAGTGTTACCTTTAAACCTCAGTTTCCTCATGTGTAAAATGGGAACTGATCCTTTGTGCGTGCAGCACAATGCCTGCCACTCCACTGAAAGTAGCTATTATTACCATGGGCAATTTATTTTCAGACAGTTTTCCCACTGAGATGATGTCATTGCCACCTTGGGCTGTCATGTCCCCATTTTTCCCTGTCCTCCCTTACACTGAAATGGTAATACCGAGAGCAGGATTGACTGAATGGAAAAACAAAGGGCCTGCTGGAAAAGCACAGAGAGAAGGGGGAAGCCACCAGTTACACAACCATTCCTCTTTGCAGGCGACGTGTCTGTCAATAGGTGGCAATCTCTCTCTTTGTCTTGTACAGCCCAGAGCCGCAATGCAGAAGTGCAGTCTTGGCTCCTGCAGTCAGCCCAGCTCTGTCCTTTCAGCAAGTAGTGGAGCTGGAGGCAGGCAAGAGAATGGGGCAGGTGCCCACAAGCTCAGTAAGGGGCCCTACCAACGTAAAGGTCTCACCTGCAGCCTCACAGCCCTTCCCATTCACAGGCATGCTTTAATGCAGAAATCAACAACAAAGAATGTTTTCTCCAGAGAGGTGGCCTCTGGGCTACTGAAAGCCCTTCTCTAAGCCACAGCTTCTCTCGGAGTGGGAGTGTCAGGTGCAGCCCTGAGTGCCTGGGAAGTTCCTTTGGGTGGAATATGGTCTTACCCATCTGCAGAGTGACTGATTCTGAGTGGGGGGAAGGACACCTTGAGAGGGGACACAGATGTGCTCATGGGTCAGAGTAAGGGCTACCTGGTGGGGAGGGTCACGGTGAGGAAGAGAGATGAAGCAGGGCAGCAGGTGGTGGTATGAATGGGGGTGGGTCTCAACACTGATCTGAAGGGCTCTCTGTGGAGCCGGGGGGCAGTGAAGACCTTAGAAGGTTTGGGACTGGGCAAGTGACATGATGAAATGATGCTTTGGAAGGTTAATTTGTGCCAGGTCCCTTCCAATTCAGAAATTCTGATTAAAAGTGTACGGCAGCCTAAATGGAGATGCTGGAAGCAGGGGAGCCTGGGAGGTCAAAGGAGTCAATCCAGGTAAGGATGACAAGGCCTGGGGCCCAAGGCTAATATTAATTATAGCACCTTCGACTGAGTGACACTCTCTGCACAGCTAGCTCTGTCCTCACAACCTCAGTGCAGGTTTCTGTATTTTTAGTTCCATGTAGCAGACACAGAGGCATTTTAGAGCCAGAGAGCTCTGTGATACACGTAGGCCACATGACCAGTGAGGACTGAATCAGGAGGGGAACCCAGGTCAGCCTGACACCAGAGCCTCAAGATTCCATTATGGGGTACAATCAAGGCAGTGAGCTTTGAGGAGAGGGGACAGCTCCAAGGGCTGGCACAGGGTGAGGTCACAAGGTACAATGCAGTTCTTACAAATGAACGCCCACAAGCTTCCACTAACTTAAATTGTTTGCTTTACTATCATAACACTTTTAGGAATTAGGTCTCAAAGCTATATGAAAATTTAACCTATGCATAGATAACCACATTAACACATGCATGTTCTCTGGGAGTATGAGGGGGCACCCCCCAAAACCTGGAATTATATTTTGGAGGGTGGGCCCCTTGTAGGCTTCCCTGACTAGGTAGGTGCTCTGGGAACCTGTTGGCATCAGGATAGCTGCTAGGCTGCGTTCGGCTTCCGTTAATTCTTCTGGAGATTCTTTCATCGTGTTTGCCCATTACATGAAGAGTGATTTACGAGTTCACTTGCCCACACCATGCTGAGTGTTCAGCAGTTTTTGACCCCAAACGGCATGACCCCCAATGCCCCACACTCCCTTTTTACCCGATCTCGTCCCAACTGACTTCTTTTCGTTTCCCTGGATGAAAAAAGTCCTCAAAGGAAAATGTTTTGCCCATGTGGAAGAGGTGAAACAAAAAAACCCAACAGAAACACTAAAAGGGATCAAAAGTGACAAATTAAAAAACTGTTGAGCAGTGGAACAGTGTCTTGATAGGTGTAACTGTATCAAATGAAGAATATATTGAAGGTGACTGAAGTTTAAGCACAATTTTTTATTAAATACATTCTCTCCCTTCCAAGAAATCTGAGGCTCAAGGAATGACAAAAATAAATAAATATACAATTTTTAATAAATAAATTCCTGGCTTTTTTGGATTTCCCCTCGTATGAGGTCATGGACAGGTCCATTATTATAAAAGTATGAACCTATAAGTCTGAATGTACCTGTGAGAATGTAACTGATTGAATGGGGGGTAGGGAGTAAGTTCTGGAAGGTGGACACTCAGACTGATTAAAAATCAACAGAATAACTGCTCTAAATGGATGAGCACTGGGTTTCTAGCTTTATCCTTCAGCATCATCTCCCTGACTTACCTCCATGTTGTTTTCATTATGTGTGTTGCACGTTGGGCTGAGGAGGTTTGACCTCATGATTAATTTTCACACTGGAAACTCCCTGTAGCGTAAGACTGACTAGGAACATTCCTGACTTTTACCAGGTAGAAACTTTCTCTCTGAGCATTTGGCAGCCACTGAATAGTAATAACAATAAGTTATACTTGTACAGTGGCTTTGAGTAATCTGTAATTTTTACTATTATTTTTGATTTTCGAAAGCTTTTAAGACAGGCAGGCAGGAGTTACCTCTACGTCACATCCCTTCCAGATTTAAAATCCTATGATGAAGATGAAACTGACATGCACAGCTACATGTGACTGGTCTGCGATCTCACAGTTGCAGAGCTGGGGCCTGGTCAAAGGGCTCCAGACATTAATTCCAGCCTCTTTCCACTAAACCACTCTGCCTCTGTACAAATCAATGCCAGGAAAGGTGTTGTCTTGAATCCAAGGTCTTAAAAAACGGAAATTATTTTTGCAACTGAAAAAAGATCCTTTGCAAGTAAATGGAAAAGCAAGTTATTTGCAAAACCACCGGTAGGGGTGATTGTGTGTCTGAGTCTCTGGGTTGACCGGCATTAAGTCTGAACATAAAACACACTTTGAGATTTTTAAAAAGTCTTCTGAAGTGAAAGAACAGTGTGCTTTGGCAGGGGAGGAAGCTTATAAGCAAAGCCATCAAACTGTCAGCTTAATATGCCATCGGTTCACTATCATGAACTGAGTCAGCCCTGTCCCCTCCATTCTTTTCCTCGTTCCCAACTTTCTTTTAAAAAAAATACCAGCTCTGCTTATGCCAAGGTGGAATTTTGGTTCAATCTGCCACTATTCTGTGACAGAGCGGCTTTGTTGACATGAGAAAGGCTCTCCTTGCTTTGCCAGGATTACTCATGGAAACTTCCCAGGAACACCAGGGCCCCTCAGATATACACAGAGTGCCATGGAGCTGGGGACAAAGGAGTTCACAGAGCAGGGAAAGGTCTGGGATGGGGCGTATATGGTGGGATGCTGGCTGCTCCCAGTAGCTGTTCTGGAGTGGACCCCAATGGCACAAGCTTGAGGAAGGCAAAGAAAAGGAGCAAAACTACTTCAGGACCTAGAAATCTAGTCAGAGTATTCCATAACCTTGTTCAAGTCTTTCTGATTCTTTTTCTCTGAAAAGAAATGTGTTGGTGCATCCTACATGTCCTAGGGAAAGAGGAGGAAGGAGGAGTGGTGATTTCTAGCAGTGGCTCTGATGCTCACAACCAATCCTTTCAACTCAAGGTTATTAAGCCAGGGCCAGATCCAGGTTTTTGTGGGGCCTGAAGCTTAAACAATTTGGGGAGTCCTCTGCAAGAAAAAGACTACAGAACTATGAATGCAAAATTGGATATAGGGCCTTGGAAGGGGATTGCAAGTAAAAGATCTGAAACTGAAGTTTAATTAGCTTTATAGTAAACCCAACTCTCCATGTGCCCTATTATTTTCTTCATAAACAAGATCTTTCCAATAATGGCTTCTGGGCCATTAGTCTATTAGTCAGAGCCCTATTTAATATTTTATGCACATATGGCTCATCTCAAGTAGACGCTCAGTGTCTTGCACACTTCAGCTTCCCACAGACCTACCACAGTGTCCTGCCCGAGAAAATGCTAAACAAATGGTTTTTACATTAAGAGTCATTGGGGGTGCAAAGTTTCAGTTATGCAAGATGAGTAACTTTTGGAGATCTAATGTTCAGCATGATAATTAACAGTGCTGTTTTGTATACTTTTAATTTACTAAGAGAGTAGATCTTAAATCACATCTTCTCAACACACACAAAATAATAACTAGGTAGAGGTGATGGATATGTTAATTAGCTTGAAATGGTAATGTCATGATGCATATTCATATCAAAACATCGAAACATTTGGTATACTTTAAACATATGCAATTTTTGTATGTTAATGGCATCTCAATAAAGCTGTTTAAAAATAAATAAAAATAATTAAAATTGTCATGATGGGGCTTCATTCAGGTTAGTGTCAGTGACCAGTGACCAGTGACCAAGGCACTCTGGATGTTTTCAGGAAGGTACGGGTGGGCTATATGACATGAAAATAAGGGATGCTTGCTAGAAGTTGGGAAGCTAATAATAATAACAACAATAATAAGTGATGCATCGCCCTAAGAAGATTAGTTTTAAGATTAAAAGAAAATCTATTATGGTCCTGTCAATCAAGAATTATTTAATTCTCCCTTGTATTATTTCTAATTTCAGACCCTATCAAATTTATGGGATATGACATATTCTTTACTTTTACTATGCATTTCGTGATAATCTATTTTGTGCCTAGAGATTACTACTTTCAAATTTCAGGTGGGACAGTGCTGTTTACCTTAAAAATGTTCTTTATTATTTGACAGATTCTGTCACATTGTGTTTGTCTTTCCAGACTGAAGAGTCTAAGTTGGCCCAGGCCACCTTCACATGGAAGCCCTCTCACCCACACAGCAACTCATGAGCCATGACTGGCATGTCTCCCATGCCCACTCCCAATGTTTAGGTCTTTCCTGAGGTGGCCCAGACAAAGTGCAACATACTACATGCTTGGTTTCTATAGAGTGATGAGCTCTAGTTTTCTGTAATGGTCTTATCTAGTCACAGCAGAAGTATAGGAGCATTGAGTGGACACTTAAGAGTTAGAAATGTATTAGTCCCTTTCTTATGGAACTGAAAATAATCTCATAAAGATCTATGAGGCCAGGGGATTCATCCCTGTTTGCACTGAGGA